AAATCTTCTGCACCTCAACATATAAAAAACCTGATACAGAACGTAGAGCCACGTTTTTACCACAAGCTAAGAACAACTAGCTTTTCTGAAATCTGCTCACAGTATTTTTTTTTACTCAACAACCAAGCAACTCTTTCAATGAGGGAACAAAATAAAAAGCACATCCTAAAAATGCTCCAAGCGCAGTAGAGATGTCATGAAGCCCTCCAACCTTTCCCTGTCTAGTCTGACCTGCTCCACCCACCCAAAGTAGTGCAGAAACTTCAGAACTGCATGCCTGCAACTGTCAAAGTTCAGGTTTGTTGAACTTTGACCCTTTGCATGGTGTGAAAGATAATCAATCAGCCATAGAGGCTGAGTGCAGAAAGCAGCTGCTCTTCCCATTTACCATTCCTTCCATACATTTCATAAGGTCTTCATTATAATTATCTTATTTTGTTTCACGACACTAAGTTTATTTCTAATGTTGGTTTTAGCAGCAACATTATTATAGATGGATAAATATCACCATCTAAATGTTTGGGAAAACCCAACTATTGTTCCTATTTAGATGATGCTTTTTTCAAAGACAACAGATGAAATGGCTGTTCATAGTGATTTCATCACTACTTTGACTTTTTTAAATGCTACAGATTCCACCTGCCATAGTATTACACTTACTTCAGAACATGTTAAAATAAACACAATAATCAAGTTAATCATCATCCCCCCCCAAAAACACCACTGTGAATGACATTCCCAATGATGTGGCCTATTTGTAAAATTAAATTAGCCAAATTTTTGGTCTCAATTGTATCTATTTTCTATTTTTCATTTTGAAGATCACGTGCTTCTTTATGTGTCAAACATTAGTAATTTGGTTTTTTTGGACATTTATGATTCATTCCTGAAATGTTTATAAACGCACACAAGAACGGACAACTCAGGGGAAATAATCTTTGGTTTTTTTTTTTTTCTTTTGCACATTTTTATGGGAAAAGTTATTCACATGCGATTAATTCAATCTCTGATCATCTGATTTAATATGTTGTTTTGATTTAGCTTTATTAGATTTTTCCACCTAATCATGTATCCTTAGAATATTTAACCAGTTTATACATGTGAGTATTTGTTTTTTTTTTTTTTTTATTCAATAATGCAACGATCAGTAATGATTCATAATAATTATTGTATAATTATATATCCAGTGGCACCCATTGATTTGCTGGTTAACTGAAGGAATAGTAGGGTATGTGTGTGTGTAATTTAGTTTTTTTTATTCCATTTTGTGTACTCGTGATTTTTTTTCCCCTTCAACACTCAATCACACAAGAAAGAGCCATTATAATCATTGAAAAGGCTGGTTGTTTGTGTAAAAAGAGTTAATAGACGATCTGTGTATATCGACTGTGAGATGGAGCGTTGGTTCAGCACTCTTAAAGCACCCCTGGCTATTATAAGGATGTCCTCTGTTTTTACTTTGCATGTTCTAAATCTGTTATTGTCCATGGAAATGTCTAGCATGAATTAGATTACCCTTGCCAGGTGCGTTTTCCCTGTTTTTCTTACAGATCAATAGTTTTTGTTTTGTTTTGAAGATTCACCTTTGCTTTCAATTCAATTATACTTTATTAATCCCCAAAGAGAAATTCAGTTTCTGTAAGATTGGCCGGTCCAGTGCACTTAATGCATCCCCTTTACAATATAAACCAGGGCTGCAACTAATGATTATTTTGCAAATTGAATAATTTGTTGATTATCGGATAATCGGATAGCCAAAGGTTCCTTAATGAAGATTTTTTACAGAATTAAACCAGTTGAAGCTAAAAATTTCCACTTGAGGAGTTCTGGATAGATCATACTGACAGACGAAAACATTTTTTTTAATCCTAAATGCAAAATTAAAATTTTTTTTTTTAAACAATTTTTCATATAATTACTGCTTAAGTGGGTTGCTCTGTCAGCTAAAGACATATTTTAGAGTCTCTAAACTCCAGGTAACGATTAATCAATCACTAAATAGTTGACAATTATTTCAATAATTTATTAATTATGATTAATCCGTCTGGGAATCGATTGTTAGTTACAAAATGTATTGGTCAAGAGGATAAACCTGTAAACTATAAGATTTTATAGTTATTATTTTTATTATGAATATATTTAAACAATTTATAAACATTGTCTCGGGTAATTTCTCTAATTCGTTGTATATTGGAAAAAGCTCAGTGAAAGCACAGGCACATTTTTCTTATTTCTGCCTTTAATCTTATTTCTGACTGACTTGAGGCTTTGGTTATACGTTATTCAATAAATAGATGTAGAATATTTGCAAGGGAGTTAAATTCACCTCATAGAGCTGTTTTAAGTCTCTCACTCTAAGGTGTCCTTTAAGGCAGGTTTAATATTCAGGACCCTGAGTACACTGAACTCCAAATTTAAAAGGAGCTCATCTTTTTAAAAATCCACCCACAGATAACAGCTGGTTTGCAGCTTCTTCTAAGCTCTTAGCATAATGTGAAATGAGCAATAATGGCAAGGCACAGCCAGTTTTTAGGAATTAAACTTAAAGAAAATCCAATTTAATCCCTTCTAATTTTATACTACAAATTCAAGACTCTTATCAACAAGCTTTTTTAAATGTAGCAATATAATAAATATTTTTAAATGTCAATAGTGTCTAAGAAATAACCTTACGAAGGTTGGATTCATTATAATGAGGCACATTCATGGGCATCTGTGGTAAAGAGTCAATAATTGCACCTCTTATCAGAAGCAGTCTAAGCTTTCAAAATAAAACAAGGAAAGTTTAATAAAAGACAAAGTCAGGGTAGAATATATGCAAACATTCAAGATATTGATATTTAATTCCAAAATGCTTTATTAATTCCAAAGGGAAACTAAATAATGACCTTAAATAAAATGGACAATACAGAGTGTTGATCAGAAAATCAGTCGGAGGAAAAGGTGTCTTTGTGGTAGCTGTCAGCATGCTGTTTTTGTTGAGGAAAAATATTAAGGTCATTAGTAAGACACTCAGAACTTGACCGCACGCTGAGGAGATGAGTCAGCCATTCCATTAAGGTGTGATAGCAGACGCATACAAAAGGTGCAGGACACCGGAACTCAAGGATTGAAATTAAGAAACCTTGATCCACACACGTGGGGTTAGTGTAAAATAAAAAACCTAAATTTGGCCTCATGCCACTTTGCCTTGTGGTAAGATAAATGGATGTCCATGGCCAGCCTAGCAGCCAGTAGCTAAAAGAAACTGGCTTTTGTTTAATGTCTTAGTTCCGGATTCTTACTAAAACTAGGCTTTTTTAACATAGTGGTCTGTTACAATTAAAGTTGTCACTGCTAAGCTAAAATAAGGCGTATATCTTTAATTTTTTGAGTCAATTTGCACTTTGACTGACATCTGGGCTCCTTTCTCCCTGGGTTCTCACAAGCGCATTTCATAACAAAATCTGGTTACACGAATTATGCTGAAATCAGGGCGATGCACTGAATTCTATAGAGCACAATGGCTGCAGAAACTACGTTTTCAACACATATTCACATATATATATATATATAAAGAAAAAAATATCGTCTAGCATAGGTTATTGTGTCAGTGCTATGAAAACCTGGACCATCCGCCTATTCTGCTTCACACTGACTCCCCCTGACTGTGGTTGCAGGCAGGTGACCATAAACAATCCTGCCCAGCCAGCAGACAGAGAGAGAAACATTTGAAGGCTGGGGCAGAGTTTCAAGGTTTCCGGAGAATATCTAAAAAGCTGTTCTGTAAAACCGAACCTCAAAATGTATATATATTTTGTTTACATAGTAAAAAAAACAAAAAAAATTCATAAAGGCCAACAAATATTGATTACACCATATGTACAAAAATATTGGCACCCCTTGTTTAATGAAAGAAAAACCCACAAATGTCAAAGAAATAAGTTAAATCTGACAAAAGTAATAATAAATACAAATTTCTGTGAAAATGAACAAATGAAAGTCAGTCTTCGCTTTTCAACATTTTGTTTTCCCATATTTGCAACATTTCAGAATCTTGGTGATGTTGATACCAAATAATTTGCTGTTTAAAATCAAATGTGTTTTTACACTGGATTGTTGAAACTACTTCTTCTTCTGGCCTTAAATCAGACTAAACTTCTGCAGTTTATGTCAAGTTAAGATAAGCAAGCTTGGCTGTATAAAATACCAGAATGATAAAGTTTCAGAACTTTTTGTAACTTTTTTTTTTTACTTCATATATTTGCAGTCATTTCCTTAGTATTTCAAACTGTATAGTTTCATCCTGTTTTTTCAGTAGTTTTCTGGTATTTTATCTCTGATGTTTTTGGATGCTTTAGTCCCACTCACCTCTACAGCTTCTGTTCTAACTTTCTCCAAGGCTGAGATCAGCTGCACATCATTGGCTTTATTGTCTTTATGCCACTTAGTAATCACGTTGGTTGTATGTTTATCCATTTCAAAGATATGTCCTTCTCTTTAATGGTTGCTTCATAACCGTATGTACAAAAGCCCTAAGCTTTTGAGTGGCAATGGAAAAACGGATTATTCTGTAAAGTGGCCCGGTCTCTCATTCAAGATACTGAAACATGATTCTCCAACCTGCTTGCATGCTATTTTTCCTTCACAATAACAAAAACACTCACAAACTAAAAGTAACAAAAGTTGTCATTGCAGTCTCAGGAAACCACAGAAGTGCATTTTGGACTGTAATCTGTTTTTGATGTTGCTTTAACTGAGTGGTCTTTCCACCCGTGTTGGTACAGAACCAGTTTAAACAGTTTTTGCTTTTTGCACCAAAAAACACAGCCTGTCTTCTGAATGTCATCATGGCTGTATTCCTGTGATTATTCTGGTAATGCTTAACAGATCAATGATGTACTTTCATGGATCTGGAGATTTAATTCTACAATTAGGTCAATTGATGTCTGAATGTGTTGTGTTTGTAAAACAAGCTAGTTGTAATTCATTCAAATGGTCTCTCTTTCTCCTTCCTGCAGTGATCCTGTTCTGCATGGCGGCACTCATCTTCCCCATAGGCTTCTACATCAACGAGGTGGGAGGTCAGCCATATAAGCTGCCCAACAACACGGTGGTGGGCTCCTCATACGTGCTGTTTGTCCTTTCAATCTTCTTCACCATAGTGGGACTGCTGTTTGCAGGGAAAGTTTGCCTCCCAGGCTGAGGACTCTTTCACTGTCAGCCTCTGGACTGAATCAAGAGGCTCTGAAAGTATAATGGGATTCCCAAAACTAGACTGAAAATCAAAAAACGACAAACTTTTGCCCTCAAAGCAACAACGTGCGGACCTTACGTTTTAAGGGACTGCAGCACCACGGAGAACTACTTAAAGATGACTAAATGAACACTAAAACGGGATGCGAGTGCAACAGGGGAGAGGCTGTCGCAGTTCCCTGCGGAATGCTGATCATTTCAGATACAGCCGTCTCTCTTTCTCCCTCTGTTGTTGCTCTGTAAGAAAGGGTGCTCAATGTGCCGCTGTCATGGCAGCCGCAGCAAAGGACGGTGGCGCACATCTCTTAAGGACCACTACAACCACTCCTCGATTTGATTTTTAGCCTCCCCATCAACACGCATCTGCTTCATCACGGCCGCATCGGTTGCTATTTATATCTTCTCTTTGCTGTTTTCAGTTTCTTTTTTTTTTCTGTACAATTTATTACTTTATTCTTCCAGGTCCACCACCTCTCCACTGAAGTAGCGTTGGGATTGTTTAGGTTCTCAGAACTGAATGGTTTAAACAGAATCAGGTGAGAGGAACATAAGCGTTTTTTGCCTGCCGTGTTGCACGGCTCCAGGTGTGCAGCTGAGGAGAGCAGCTGTTTTGCTTCACACATTCAGCCTGCTGTGGGTGAGACATAGATGCAGGCGTGCTTCCCCATCATCTTATCCAGCCTATTAGGACCTCCAAGGGTTTCAGAGCAGGAGGTGAACCTACATAAAGGAGAATGCCACTCAATCACAGACCATGCATAAAAATATTACTGAAGAGTAATCGTTAGGACTTCTTAATTAAACCTGTCATGCTCATCCACCACCTTAGCTATCCGTTTTTTGAACATGAATTCATCTCTGTAATTTATGGCTACATTTACAATGGAAATAATATTCCTGCAGTGGTGCGATGGACTCCTATAATATGGACTGTACTGAACTTTTCCAATATAAAATTATGGAGAAAAAAAAACATGTAAAGGCTGAAAATCAGTGGTATTCTCCTTTAATCTTTGGTAATGAAAATGATTGAGCCAGGGAAGGTTTTTTTTTTTTTTTTTAGTCATGTTTTGTAGAACAGTGAAGGCACTGGGACTGCAGGTCAGGTCCATGCATGGCACTGTGCTTCATAGTAGTGCTGGAGACGTCTGTGAAAGCAGCTCGCACAAACACACATTCACAACATTCACACTGTGTCTCTGTTGATTGTTACACTCCCAGTTACAAACTTAATGGAAACATCAGACCGCAAAAAAGTTTACTCAAAACACTATAAAAACAGTTTTTACAGTGCTGTACAACAATCTTTGTATCTCTAGAAGTTTTCCACATTTTAGGTTATAATCGCAAACTTAAACATGTTTTAGGGAGATTTAATGTGATGTGACCAAAACATGGACGTAATGTGAAGTGGGAGATTCTCCCATAAACTGTGACCAGCTTCTCTGTCCTTGCTGATTTAAAGCCTCCCCACAGAACAATACAGCCTCTGCCATGTTCCACTGTGGCTGTATGTTAAGCTTTGTTGTACTTGAAGTTGGGTTTTCCTATCTTACCATCAACCTTTCTTGACTTCAATGTCCCAGCTGAAGAAAAACATTCTCATGTTTTCTCTTTAGCAAAGTGTGTTAAAACATGATTTTAGTTGTTGGTTTTCTCCAGCAGCTAATGTTTGCATGCAGGCTAAAAAGTTTAAAACTGCTCTTATCTGAGCAGCACCCTTGTTACTCCTGTTTGCTGTTTGTCAGCCTATTAAAAAAACTGCGCAGACTTTTTTTTTCTTTCTTAAGCAATGAGATTCTTCCTGTTAAAACCCCATAATTAATAGCCGTCTTTACCACAGATTATCCTAGCTGAACTGTAAATTTGTTCAGCTCCTCCAGAGTTGCCAGCTCCTATCAGCTGCTTCCCAGTTTATATTGATGGAGATGTGTAGGTACATTTGTGGATGTTGATTTGAACCATGCTGTGAGAAATGGTGATGTATAGGAGTTTTGTGACTGAACTCAACTCCAGCCCTCTTCAAAATTTCACCTCGGACTTCTTTAGTGTGTCCATTCGTCTTCAGGATGCTGTGTGTTCTCTGTTTTCCAGCAAACATCTGAAGCCCTTGATGAACCACTGGAGCTACACACAGAAGCACCCTGTACTAGGGCTGAAACAATTAATCGGATTAATCGTGATTAATCGATTATTGAAAAAATGTTCAACTAATTCAGTAATTGATTAATCATTAAGTTGAGTATAGAGACTGTAAAACATGATTTTAGCTGACAGAGTTGCACACTTAGAGCAGCAATTATCTCAAAATTGAAAAAAAAAATATATAAATATTTTGCATTTTTTTTCCCCGTCTTTCAATATGCTCTATCCACCCCTCAAGTGGAAATGTTTAAGTTTCACCTGTTTTAATTTCTTTAGAAATCTTCTTTAAGACTTTTGACTATCCGATTATTAATTGATCAATCAGGAAAAAAAAATCCACAGAGTAATCGATTTGCAAAATCATCGTTAGCTACAGTCCTACTCTGTACTAATAAGGGAACCTCTGAAGGCAGCTATTTGCTCTGGATTTTATTTTGTATAAGAGCAAACGAGGCTGAATACAAATGCTTACAAACTTTTTAAGGAATTTATTTTTTAGTTCAGCAAGCCATGTTGTTTTCCTTCAAAATTACTATAAAGGATTACATTGTTTTGGTCTTTCACATTAAATCCTCTTAAAAACCAACTAATGATGATATGTAAAAGTCCATGAAGTATTAATGGTAAACAACCATATCAAGTATTTTCCTCCTAACCAACTTCTGTTATTCCATTTTTAAATGTCTTCTGATTTCAGAATATAAACAGGAAGTGTCTCCACTTGGTTTTATTTAAAAGTGTTCACACTGCAGCCTGAAACTTTCTAGACACTTTCCAAAAGCTGCCTGTGAGATAACACGTCTGCTTTTGCCAGAACACGTTTCGCAGACCTTCTCTAGGCAGCAGTGTTGAAGCCTGAAAATAACAAGCTATTACAAGAAAAGCAGCAGGGTGAACATGCATATTAATCAATTTTAAAATTTGATTCTGTATCATTTGATTCCTTTTTTTTTTTTCTTTAGTTTAATTTTCAGACTTCCCACTTCTACCGTATTTGTTTTTAAAATAAAAGTCAATTCTGGACTTTTTTCCTTACTTATTGGATATTAGCTTATGCTTCCTCAGGGCTTCCATGTAAATATTATTTGGCTAAATTAAACAGTATTCAATAAGACTGAACTGTAACAGCTTTTAAAGCCATTGCAATTCAAAGTTGAATCCCTAACCTTTGGCCCTTTTTCAGAACAGTATTAGACTTTTAGGAAAGGTACAGTTAATCAACTTTGTTAGGAAAGCTACTGTAATTCCTTGGGAAATAATTGGTATTAATTGAGATTGTTTAAAAAAGTAATTTATACTTGGTATGTCTGTGCCATTTTAAAATTATACATTTTAGCTCCAGCAATCACAAATTCTTTATAATCAGCATTATTTTGCCATATTCAAATTCACAAAGTAGAAATAGAAGAATGTAAATCTGGAATATTAAAGGCAGTTTTTTTATACCTGGATATAGGTTTTATTTATATACATTTTCATTAAAAGAAAACAAAACATTTTCTCCCCTTTCTTTCCTTTTATAAGTAAATAAGATAAAAATATATGTTGCTGCAGCTTTCTGTCCGTCCTAAAATGTTTTTAAGATGAAAAATTGGCCTCTTAAGTTCTAAAGGTATTAAAACCTTGGGCAGATTCAGAACAAAAGGGACATTTGGACCATTCATCTATGAAGATAAAAGGCCTACCGTTTCCCTTCTGGAGATTCTTTTGAGATTCTTGCTTGAACATTCCAAAAACAGTCGAATGAAAAGATTACTTTAAACCTAAATGAGCTGTGGCTCTGAGTACCTTGGGATTCACTGCCCTTCGATTGGTCATCAATGAGTGTTTCAATCCAGTGGCATAAGATTGCTTGTCTGCAGTATTATCTGTTAGGGACATTGCTTTTAAATTCTATGCATGACATTTTTTCATAGCAATAATAAATTTGGCCTGTTCTAAGGACCAATAAATGCTCCTCACTGAAAGTAACTATTAACTGAGATTTTAAGATGCAAACAACGAAAGAAAATATTGTCATTATGATCTGTTTTGTCAAAACCATATTTAGTATTATTGCTATTTCATATCCCCCTTACATGTTATAGCCCTGTTTTAAAACAGAATTTAGCAAAACACATTTTGTCCCTTTACAGTGTTACGAATTCCCTCTCCTCCCAGACTTCCTGATTAATCTAAAGTAACAATTGATTTAAGCAATTAAGAGACAAGATTGTGATTAATGTTCTGTAATCACCCACTCCAATAATTCGACAAATGCCTATCTTTATATCAACTTTTGGAGTGAGTGTTACACCAATCTAATCCTGAAAATTTTGTTTGTTATGTGCTCTTTACTTACCAATTTTATAGATCATTCCTCTGTCTTTGCTAAATATTCTTGCCCATGTCTCTAATCTCAGAAATTAGAGTAATCTATAAACATTTGCAGAAGCTTTAAAAATTAAGTCGCTGATGCTAACACTGATCATCTATAATTAAATCCATGTTTGGATAATAGCTTCATCCTCAAAGGTTGTGTAATTCTTTATTTTTTAAACACTAAAGGCCTGGGAGTGCATAAGATAGTGAGACATGTGTATCCTCAGTGTGTGTTTGTGTGTTGAAGCAGTCACAGTCTCTCTTTTTGCTAAGTCTTAGCGACTTTTCTATTTCTGTTTCCTGCTCTGCTTCTCTGACTCTCGGCCCCATGATGTGTACTGCTAAGCTATACACTCTGCCTCTGGTTGGTCTAGTATTGTGCCATGGCCTACTTCTGTTTTATAATGTACAGACACATAAAAGGCAAGATTTCTGTATTAGGGAGCACTGTGCGTTCAACAGTATAGGTAACAGACATAGAAGCACCACAGATGTATAAAAAAAAGAACTTCTTACCTCATTGTTTTTTTTGTTTTTTCTGCTATTATTTTCTAATGGTGGCAACGTGTGTGCCCTCTAATTTGTTTCTTGCCTTGATCGGATGTCTACACATAAAGCCTATGTTGATAGGAAGTTATTTATCACTGAATAAAAAGATAAAATTGGGTGTGTGTGACTCTGACACGGTCTGTTTTGTGCTCTTTTTAAGCGTACTTCAATTATTGTTCATGCCATTCAGTCTCAGTGCCACTTAAAAGTGCTGCATCATTGTTAGGGCCATGTACAGCCAACGTATGCCGGATGCTGAACTTTCTATGTATTTTTTCCATTTTGGACGTATACATAGAGTATTCATAATGAGTCCAGAGCATATGT